TTCTTTCTCTGTCAAATAATAAATTAAAAAATCTTAAAAAAAAAAAAAAGTGAATATTCTTTGCAGTATCACTCGTACTAGCAACACCCAAGACCAACTCAATGGGCATTGTGGGGCTTCTGGTTTGGGATGGTACCTCCATTCGATGGAAAACCACACAGCCATTATAAAAAGGCATGAGGACGCTCTCTGTAATGGGCTGATAATCTAGAAGTCTCCAACATAGAATATAGTGCAGATCGGGGTGTATTCCATGCTACCCATTGTGTATAAAAGGGGGAAAAGCCGTATTAGACATCTTTGAGTCTCTTTGGAAGGTAACATTGGTTCCTTTGCAGAGGGGAATGAGGAGTAGGATTTTTCACTTCTTTTTTTGCCTTTTGGATTTTGAGCCATGTGAATACATTGCCTTCTCAAAACAAGAAGTACGATTTAAAACAGAAAATGCTATACTCTCCGGTCTAGCAATTCTGGAGCTAGATCCTACAGCTACATCTGTTGCCCATGAGCAAGGGCGTATGTAGGCAGATATTTACTGCACTGTTGCTTGGACTCACAGAAGATGGAAACAGCCCGAAGGTCCGTCCATAGGCACCAGCTAATGGCAACCTATTCACACAAGAAATTCTGAGGTGGGTCTGTTTATACTGATAGGTTAAGAAAAGCAAAGTGCTGGTAGTATCTGGAATGTGCTGCCATTTGTTTGGTAAATATCTCTGTGGATTTGCTTCTAATCTAATACAGAATATTCCTGAAAAAAAAAACCAAATCTAGCAACAAAGTTTGCCTCTAGGGAGAAAAACTAAGAACTGAGGAAGGGTGGGAGGGATCTTTTGTGTGGCTTATCTTTTACCAATGGTCCAGAATCTAGCCCTCTCCATAGGAAAAAAAATTTTAAAAAGCAAACCACTAGCTGAAGATAAAGAAAAGAAAATGAGGTCACCCCGCAGGCCTTAGCCCAGTGTCTGGCACACAGGGAACCCCTCAGGCTCCTGGCTGAATTCCCTGACTGGCTGGGAAGGCTCAGAACCTCGGCAGGATGCTAAGGCTCCCGAGAGGTGTCAGGCCCTGAGGGGGCAGGCCCGAGCACGTCAGGACCAGGCAGTGTGACCTGAGGAGAGAGAAGAGGCACATGATGGGTCCTCAGTAAGGTGGGGGGAAACAGGGAAGCCAAAGGGTACAGAGTTGGGACTGATTGGCTATCCCCTAAAGCATGTCTCCTAAAAGCCTGGGCCTTAATGGTGCCCCTGGGTGCTTGTTTTTCTGATGCAGTGATGTGGGAAGGCCCAGGCTTGGGGAACTGGGAGTGAGCATGCTCTCTGCCTCGGTTTCTTTTTTTTTTTAGATTTTATTTATTTGAGGGGCGCTTGGGTGGCTCAGTTTGTTAAGTGTCTGCCTTCGGCTCAGGTCATGATTTCAGAGTCCTGGGATTGACCCTGGCATTGGGCTCCCTGCTC